TCTGACAAAGGATTAATATCCAGAATATACAAGGAACTGAAACAACTTTACAACAAAAATCAAATAACCCAATTAAAAAATGGGTAAAAGAGCTAAACAGGCATTTCTCAAAGGAAGATATATGGATGGCCAACAGACACATGAAAAAATGCTCAACATCACTCAGCATTCAGGAAATGCAAATCAAAACCACACTGAGATTCCATCTCACCCCAGTGAGGATGGCTAACATCCAAAAGATTGTGAATGATAAATGCTGGCGAGGTTGCAGAGGAAAAGGAACTCTTGTACATTGTTGGTGGGACTGCAAAATGGTGCAGCCTCTATGGAAAATGGTATGGAGGTTCCTCAAACAATTGCAGATAGATCTACCATATGACCCAGCTATCCCACTGCTGGGAATATACCCAGAGGAATGGAAATCATCAAGTCGAAGGTATACCTGTTCCCCAATGTTCATTGTAGCACTCTTTACAATAGTTAAGAGTTGGAACCAGCCCAAATATCCATCATCAGATGAGTGGATACAGAAAATGTGGTATATCTACACAATGGAATACTACTCTGCTATAAATAAGAATGAAATACTGCCATTTGCAACAACATGGATAGACCTAGAGAGAATTATATTAAGTGAAACAAGTCAGGCACAGAAAGAGAAATATCAAATGTTCTCACTTATCTGTGGGAGCTATAAATAAATACACAAATAACCTGGGGGGGTGGGAGGGAAGAAGACACAACAATTACAATTCCTTGAAGTCAATATGACAAGCGAACAGATAGGAGGTTGTTGGGAGGGAGGGGGGAGGTTTCGGTAATGGGCCACGATAATCAACCACATTGTATATTGACACAATAAAATTAAATAAAAAAAAAAAAAAGAAAAGAAAATGTGGAAGATTCTGACATTCCTTCCAGAACGGCCGGCCGCACCCACTCACACAGGGTGGGTTAACTACTGGCTTGTTACTCTCCCCAGCACAACAGGAGGGTCTAGAGGCAGTGGTCCTCATCAGGGCAGATGACTGAGGTAAGAATCTGCATGGAGTCCCAGCGCCAGGCCATGGGTCAACTCTTTCCCAATTCACGAGTCAGGTGTGGCCCCGGCCCAGCTCTCAGTGCACCTGCTCAGATGAAGAGCTAGTTCATCCAGGGTTTAAGATTCCCACTGGTTCATCACCATTTAAAGTTTGTGCTGATAATGCCATGTTATGCAGCCTTACATGATGAAATGTCACACTACAATGCAAAGTGAATAAAAGCAGAATATAATATGGTACATTATCATATGCTCTCAACAGTATTAAAGTAATGGAGAGAAAATGGGCAAATGTCTAGGGGCTCTTGAATCAAAACCGAAAATTGTTTTGCAACATGTTTTAAAGAAGATAAAGGTTGTACTTACATCACTTTCATTAAGTTTTTCCTTGAATATTGGAATCAGTCACCAATCTTGTTTTATTGCTGACTCCACAGTAATCCCAGTGCAATACCGTATGAATATACAGGTGCTTAATATTTTACAAACCCACGTGGTTTCTCTTCATTTAATTCTGTGTATTCCTTTGATATTTCGCTGCACTCGATTATCCACAGAGCAGAGCAGGCATCAACAAGTCGGGAGACAAAAGCCCACACCCCTTGGCGGTGCTGGGCCTTACACGCTGTGGTGATCCTTGCCTTCTTCCTCAACTTTCCTTCCAAGGCTCCGTGTATACCAGCCCGGCTGTCCTGTTCTTCCCTTCACTCCCCATAGACTTTCCCTCCTTTGCTCCTTTTCACAGTGTCCTGGGACCTGACCAAGAGCCGCAGACTTCCTTTTTCTCCGTGAGAAGCTGTCTCAAACCCCAGAAGCTCCCCAAAATGAGAAAGATCCCTCTACCCTTCCCAAAGAATTAACACAGCCATATCCTCTCGCTACCTCTTTTGGGGACCTCTACCTCTTTCCAGTTTGTATAAAAGCTGATTATCAGTATGTCTTTATAGTTTTTAACACTGAGAGCTCTACAGATTTGTGTGATGCGGCCTGTATCTTCCACAGCTCCCACCACGATGCCCCCCAATGCTGCTTAACTCAAGCGTGGCCCACACCCGTGGCAGAGCCTGGAGTCCCTCCCCACGCTGCACCAATGCAGTCCCCACAGGCAAACGTCCGTAATGTCTGTGCTAAGGACCGAATGCTCGCTATTCTGAGGAAAATTATATTTTCTTGAAAAATGATTTTCAAAGAGGATAAAGAATCCTAATTATTGCAACAAGAGGTTATCAATTAACTATAATTACGTATGCTTATTTAATGTGACAAATGCTAGCCACATGGATAGCTCTTTTAAGGAAAAATCTAGAGGAGTAACCCTCCGACAAGCCAAATCAACCCCTGCCAAAAAAATTTATGTATTTCATCCCATCAAAACTGTGCCCCCACTTTGCTACTTAGCTGAACTTGGATGGTTTATTTTGGCACTGTTATTGATTGGAAATTTCAAGAATCTGGAGGTTATACTACAAAATAAAATTTAAAAAAACTACTAAAACTATGAACCAAATTATGGATAAAGGAGATATTACATTACAATCTACTTTTCTTTATTGTGGTAAAATATACATACACAAAATTTAGGATTTTAACCATTTTTAAGTGTATAATTCAGTGGCATTACGTGCAATCACAGTGCTGTAAACCGTCACCATGACCCACCTTGAGAAACTTTTTACCTCCCCAAACTGAAACTCTGTCCACAGGAAACAACTGCTCCCACTCCCCTCCCCAGCCATGGCACCCACCACCCTACTTCCTGTCTCTATGGGTTTCATGACTCTAGGTACTTTACATAAGTGGAATCAAACAATATTTGTCTTTTTGTGTCTTATTTCACTTAGCATAATGTCTTCCAGCTGCATCCATGTAGCTTGTGTTAGAATTTCCTTCCATTTAAAGACTAAATAGCATTCCACTGCATGCACAGACCACATTTTGTTTATCCGTTCATCTGTCAATGGACATCTGGGTTGCTTCCACCTTTCAGCTTTTGTGAATAATGCTGCTATGAACAAGGGCATATAAATACCTGTTTAAGAACCTGCTTTAAATTTTTTGTGTATATATCCAGAAGTGGAATCGCAGGATCAAATGTTACTTCTACGTCTAATTTTTTGAGGAGCCACCTCACTGGTCCACAGAGGCCGCACCGTTTTATATTTCTACCAGCAACGCAAGAGGTTTCCAATTCCTCACCTCCTCACCAACATTGGCTTTTCTGTTTTGGTCACAGCATCCTTCTTGGTGTGAAGTGCTACTTCACTGTGGTTTTGATTTATGTTTCCCTAATGACTAGTGATGTTGAGCATCTTTTCATGTACTCATTGGCTGTTTGTAAATCCTCATTGGAGAAATGTCTATTCACGTCCTTTGCCCATTTTTTTGATCAGGTTTTTCTGTTGCTGCTATTACTGTTGAGCTGTAGGAGTTTTTCGCATAGTCTGGATATTAATCTGTACCAAATAGGATTTGCAAACCTCTTTCCATTCTGTAGGTTACCCTTTCACCCTCTTGATAATGCCCTTTGACGAGCAGAAGTATTCAGTTGACAAAGTCCCATTATTTATTTTTTCTTTTGTTGTCTGTGCTATTGGTGTGATATCCAAGATATCATTGCCAATCCAACATCGTGAAACTTTTCCTCTAAGAGTTGCATAGTTTTAGCTCTTACATTTAGGTGTTTGGTCCATATTGAGTTAATTTTTTGTATACAGTTTAGGTAATGTCAACTTTGTTCTCTTGCATGTGGATATCCAATTTTCCCAGCACTATCTGCTGAAAATGTCCTTTACACGTTGAATATTTCCACAGCCTGTTGAAAATCATTTAACCACATACACGTGGGTTTATTACTGGGCTCTCTATTCTGTTCCATTGGTCTATAAGTCTGTCTTTATGCCAGTACCACACTGTTGCATTATTATAGCTTTCTAGTAAATTTTATAGTCAGAAAGTGTGACACCTTGACACCTACAATTTTCTTTTAAAAGGTACAGGCCATACTTATTCAGTAAAAAATTGGAAAGAATCGCAGTCTACCACAATGTTCTGAAGCAGCAGCAATGTTTTAAAAATTCCCCGTAGCAGGTCCAGGTCTTTGCAATAGTTCTTAAAAATCAAAGCTTGTATTCATGCAGGTTTTTGGTGCTCTAAAATGATGTTTTTATATAATTGATCTGGAGTCCTCTGGATAGGATAACCCAGTCTCAGGGCATCTAAGATACACAGCAGCACGGATAAAAAGGGCATAATGTTTGAAGGCAAGAAAACTGGGTTCTATACCAAGCTTCACTTCTAAATTAGGGTGAAGAGCTTGGAAAACATTATTAACTGCTCAGGGCATAACATAAGCAAGGCAATACTAACAACTGCCCTCTGTAACTTGGCAGGTTGCAGTAAGAATAAAATTAAATTTGCTTTCCTATGAAAGGTAGTAGCCTACATCAAGAAATTTAACACTGGGAAAGGAATGGTAGTAACTGTTTGCTGCCAAGATGGTCTCATCAACTAACATAAAAAACTTTAAAAATATTATTGTACTGTCTGCCCAGGTAGATGACAAAAGAGAGTTTCAAACTAGGAGATAGTAAATGACAGTGGTTAAGAACAGGGCAGTGCAGGTGGACAGAAGTGGAAGAGGTGGAAGATTCAAGTGCTGGCTAAGCCACTTTCCTAGTCACGGACCTTCATCTTATAGATGCCCACACTCTCTAAGCAACTTCTGAGCCATAGACCTTCATGTGACAGATGCCTACCCTCTCTACGCCACTTCCTAGATATGGACATTTTTCTCATAGATGCCTATCCTCTCTACACCAATTCCTAGTCATGGACCTGCATCTGATATGATCTCTACCCTCTCTAAGCCTAAGCATCTTCATGCACAAAACCAGAGAAAGACTACATCGTGGATCATTTAGTTTTTGTGCAGACTAAATGTCACCTTTCATAGTAGAAGGAGGAGGAGGAGGAGAGGCTGATCTCTGGAATTTAAAATGATAGGTATCTCTTCCACCTAAGATTATGTATTTTGCAGACCCAATAATTTAAACTGCACTTACCCTGTCTCCAGGCCGCACCATGGGTTCTTGCTTTGTACCTAATTTATGCAGAATGTTGTAGGCAACCTTCATGCTTCTTGTCCACAGTTTGCCTGTCAATACAAATTATAAAGACACAGTAATCATACACATGCATTTTTGGTTACATCTGCATGTGCACATTAAACCATACAGAGGTTATTACTTCTCCAAGTGAAAGTCCAGTAACGAGGCACTTCAAAAAGTTCATGGGAAGATTCGTATCATCTCTCAATTCTATTTTTCCACAAACTTTCTAAGTACCTCACATGGATCCCTCTGCTTCCAGTACCTGTGGTCCAAGCAACTCTAACTGGGGGCAATGAAGAGAAAGGAGGGGCTGAAAGAAACCAGAAACAAAGTGGAAGCAGAGAGGCAGGAGGGGTTTTCAGAAACAAAGCTTTGGGAGAAAGAAAGAAGAAATGAAGAAAAGAGAAAATGAAGAAAGAGGAAAAGCCACGCTTCAGCGCGTCTTCCGATTTGCATGTGATGAGGAGGAGGACAGTGCCACACGCGTCGTCCCGAGGCTGTTCGTAGTTCAGCCCAAATTACACTGCCCTGGGGAGAGGGGTCCTGAGAAGTTCTCTCAGGAGACAGGTTTACCCAAAGCCTTTTTCATTCTGAGGCTTCAACTTATTCTGAGTCCCTGGAATCAAGATGTGAAATAAAAGTCAACTGCGTGACTCATAAAATCAGGAGCCTGAACACTTGAACGAGGTCCCAACACGACACCCAATTCCTCCTGGTGTGTGAAGCACCTACACAAAGCCACAGGAGATTGCAATTGTCACAGAGACTGCAGGGAAGACCTCTGGGATGAAGGGTGGTGGCCGCCATGGCAGCACACCAGCACCAGCACCACCGTGGTGGCTGCGCTGAGGCTGTGCTTGTGTCTTCCGAGGGGTGATGGATGTGGAGCACAGAGATGGCCCTCACAAGGTCATCCACACACCCGATCCCTTCCTCCCCAGCCCTATGGTTCTCAACCTCTAATTTTCCTCACCCCAGGGCTTTAGGGTTTTTGGAGAGGAATCCTTGGATTTGGATAAAGATAATAGTAAATATTCTGAATCATTTAAAATTTTTAAACTCTAGAAAAAAATGACCATAAAGCAGGATTAAAAACAGAATTAAAAAAGAAAACACTTTAGCCAAAGTGCCTGGCTCTGGAGAACTTGCATATTTCAAATCCCTGCTCACCCCACGGCAGACATTTCTCAGCATTATTTGGGTGATGGTGAAGTCTGAGATGAAATAGAAATGACTTCAAAATCTAAAATGAGTTCTTGAATACATAAAGGCTTTCAGAGACCTCAGTGGCTGAGAGCTTTTCAGAAGTAGCCAAAGTGTTAGAAGTTACGTTAAAGCAGTAACAGTTTAGTAAAGTCAAGAGCAGTTTTAACTATGTTCTGTTTTAATGCTATCGATGTTTTAATATTTTTCCTATTTTAGATATAAAAACTAAATCAAAGATTTTTGTTTGTTTGTTTACAATACATTTTGAATTTTAAAAATCCTGAATTTGTTTTATTTCATACTGGAACTACAACTACCCCTCACAGGATTTATCAACTTGCCTCCCCGAGGACTCAGAAAGCAAAGACGCCACCTCCGATCGCTCTAATTCCCAGACAACCCCTGGTTCACAGTATGTGCTCAACCAGTGCTTCTCGGTTTGATCAACATTATAGACAAGCTATAGTAAAGCACAAAGTTACGGTGGCATTTCAGCATAGTTCTCGAACACCTAGTTACCAGATATAAAATTTTATTCACATCCCCTCCTCCCATCTTCTCTAACTCCTCACCTCAGCACTGTGGTCCTCAAGACTGGCTGCTTTACCATTGTTTGATATTTTGTCTGGGGACCTTTTTTTTTGGCCTATAAATAGTCATCAGCTCATTAGAAATAACTCAGGGAGTAATTTTTTTCTAAAGAAAACAAATATTTTGTGCCTTCATATCTCTTCAATGCGAATGATATTGGGATCTATTACAATTGAATAAACAATACATTCAATTTGTTGTAAGTGAAAAAAATCTATGTGTTATAAATGAACAAATCAATGACAATCAATTAGCACCATTACAGTTTGTTAAAGTTTCAACTTCATTCTCAGCTGAGAATCTTAAAATCGATATAATAAATTCGTACAAAAGCTAGTTGACAATTTTGAGTTTGAATAAAGCAAAGTGAACAGAAACTTCTGGCAACATTCTTGACACATACTAGATATTTCAGCACTGTGTATTTCCAAAGAAAAAAGGAAGGAGAGTAAGTCAAGCTGCTGATGTGACAGAGAAGGCGTGGCAGTTCTGCACTGACTCACAGAGGGGACGTGCAGTGTCGTGAGCACTACTTTACTTCACGTTAATTTTAACTGTGCTTGGATTTGAATGTGGAACAGGCAGCTGTACAGAGTGCAGCCACTGGGGAGGGAGGCCAAGGGCACAGAAGGGCTGTGCCCGGGGCTCGTGGAGCATGGCGGCCACAACACCTGGACACTGGGTGGACATTTACGAGATTCACCACTGACAATACAAAAACCAAAGGCTGCAAGAGGTGGTCCAATGCTTCTTTAGCTCAAGCATCTAAATTCCTTGAAACACTGGAGTAAAGGCAAAGTTAAATAAAAAAAGAAAGAAAAGGAAGAGGAAGATGAACATGAGCATTTACATGGTGGAAAAGGCACATTACGACACAGCAAAATGGATTTTCAGAATCTCACTAAAACCAGAAGGGAGACAGGAAGGGGATATTGGAAAGTTCCAGGCAGGTGAAACATGCTAAAGGGATGTTAAATACACAGCATGCATCATTTTATTAACTGAGGATCATGAAATTGCACCATGCTTTTCAGCGTGCATTCTGTTTCTGCTGGAGAGTGGAAGACGTGGTCATGAGGTTGTCTGTGAGTTCATTCATGACTTCCTTGTGCAGTCTACATTTCTACTAAAAATCCTAAGTATTTCAGTTGGGAATTCTGCTATCTTAGGGATTGGTGGGAAGCTAAATTTGGGGGCTGAAGGGAAACTACAGGACTTTAAATAGTACAGCCCTTCAATTACAGAAAATTACTCAGTATTACTACAATCCTTGTTCAATGAGCTTTTCTAAGTCTTCTCAGCAATATCCAGTCATTGATGTTCAGCGATTTTGGTATTTCTACGTGGACAGCATTTTCTACAGTATTTATGGTATCGGCCAACACTTTTGCTTTATGTCCTGATAGGCAGTGATCTTACATTTGGAAATGCATTGCTTTCTCACATTACTTTAACAAGAAAAAACTAAGATCGACTCACAGCATATGACAGATGTAGACAATTAAAATATAACAGAACACAGACAATTTAAAAACAGGAGCTGAACTGCCTTGGTTGTACTCATGATGCTTGGATGACCCAAATTTTCATATGTAATATTTGGTCTATGTCCGTCAGTTGAGAGGGCTGCACTTCTCATCTAGAGTATGAGACCCAGAAAACTGTGTTTTACTCATCTTTGATCTACCAAGCAGTCACTCCAGGAGTAAGCAAGGATTACCGTAAGTGAGGATGTACAGTGGCTTCCCGTTCGTGTCCATGGTGGTCAGGCAGGGGGCCTTTGGGGAGATGGTTCCCCATCGCTGCAGCGCGGCCTCAAGGGACGGCGGCCAGTTCGTGACCACACCCAGCTGCTCCCCACGCGTGGCCAGCATCTGTGCCCCCTCTGGCTTTGGTTGGTTTGGATCTGGTTGCTGAACTAAACACATTTGAAGACAAAAAGTTTTCAAGAATACACCCCTGTTAGCATGGTTACTTTTTACTCTTTTTGAAGAGCTAGGAGACATACTTAAGGTATAAATTTACTAGCTGCGGAAAACATGCTTTTCTAGAATCAGGGTCTATATACTGGCCTCGTGGATGTGACAGAACATTTAATTTGTATAATTTCCAAAGCAATATGGGATGGAGAACTTAGGTAGACATGAGCTCATTTGTAAACTGACAACAGTTAAAACTATATATTGTACCATGCCTACAGTTTAGGATTGCAACAGCTATGTTTAAAATTTCAGTTATTAACATACACTTGTAATTCTGGGCTCCAAAGAGCTCAAATCTTGCTAAATTATATTTTGCCCTTAAATACTCAGATTTAAATTTAAATTTACTATAACTATGGTAAAGAACAAGAGCATGGAGCAAGTACTTTCTTAAGTAAAACTAAAATAAACACATTGTAATAAAACATGATCTCCCCAATTCTTCACTTTTCGTAGGTGAGAAACATAAATGATTTCTCCCACTTCTGAACAAGGTTTCTCTCTCACAGTTTATGATTGACAATCTCCATCTCCTGGCCAGAAAACCAGCTACGTCTTACTTCTGGTTTAATGAACAGGAATATATGGAGTCTGGGTTTGATAAAACCAGCAGGTCTTCTGTTTTGTTTCAACTTTAAGTTGTTTGTGTTCAAAGACTCAGGAGCATTCAGGGGCTAAGACACCAGCTCCTGTGTTTGTGAACAGTGGCAGGAAACGGAGGAGAGGGGGCTCCTGCTCATGAGCTCATCAGAGAGAACTGCTGTGCAGTGAGCATGTCTATAATCTTACAGAGCCCTTAAAAGAGGCTTGGCTCATAGAATAAAATCACGGTCTGCTGAAGGTGTCAAACGATCAGTTTTGGAGCTCTGCACCTTCAACGTGGCCATTTGGGGACAGACCCTCACTCTCTTATCCAGATTCCCATCATCTAGTAAATGCCAAGATTTCTGCTCTTAGAAAAATAAAATAGCCTTGTAGAGAAAATATCATTATTGTTTATGGGACCGTAGGAACACCTGAAAGAAACAGGGGTGGGAAAGCGTTCTTTTACCTTCCAACAATTCTTCAAAGTCATCAACAAAGAATTCTCGTAACGGTGGCCGTTTGGGTCGTTTGAGGGTATTGACAAGCTGCTGAATTTTTGCTGATACCCGGCTACTTACTGGTACTCCTGAAAAACAGGAACCGGGAGTGGATGAGTGACTGTCAGTTTGAACAGGCAACCACAGTAAAGCAGCCCAAAACTGGAGTTCTCTGTCCCATCTACAGTGTTGCCATAACAGAGCAATGTCTGGAGACCACGCATGCCCTCAAGGTATGGGACAATCGCTGTGCTCAGGAAGAGGGATCTAACCGGTAGACAGATGAGAGGGTAAATGCAGCAGTGATGGTTCTCCTTCCCAGCTTTGTGGGACGTTCTATTCTGATGGGAGGAGTCTGAGGACCACACATGGGGCTTGGTCCCACCTCTAACTCTTAGAATCTGTGTCTGTGACGGGTAGCCTGCTCATCCCTTCTCCACAGGGTCAGACAGTTGGCCGAGAAGCAGCCAGTCTCTCCCTGAGTTGGTCTCTCCTAAGACCATCAGCGAGGCCGAGGAAGTGCCTGAGGGTGGGTTGCAGCAGGAGATGCTGCTGCAGACCCACTGATGGAGCTGGGGGCGCAGGCTCACCATGATGTCAAGGCCCTGTCATCTCCTGACTATGGCAGAGTGCCTTGTACGTCTCTCTCTGACCCACTGAATTTGGTGCACGTTTAGGCTGTACATTCTAGGAGTATGGCAGTTAAGTCTCTAAACTCAAATTTTTATGTAATAGAATCTAGCCTATGCAAGGGCACTTCAGAAAGTTCATGGAAAAATAGAATGGAAAGATAATATGAGTCACTCCATTAACTTTTGGAAGTACTCTCATATTTACCCATATGTACTGAGAAAAATAAACTTCATTTTAAATATTTACTTCTTGTAACAATGAATGTGACATCATTTTGAAAACTGACTAAATGAGCTGATAATTGAAAAAGTCATGAAGTTTTTAAATTTCAAGATAAATAATACAGGGCTGGCCTGCTGGTGCACTGCTACAGTGCACCGCTTGGGAGCGTGGCGGCGCTCCCGCCGAGGGTTCGGATCCCACATACAGACCGGTTCCCGCTCACTGGCTGAGCGAGGTGTGGGCGCAACGCCGAGGGCTGCGATCCCGTTGCCGGTCCCGGTCCAGTACGGGCGCGACACTGAGGGTTGCGATCCGTTGCCGGACACGAGAAAAGACAAAAAAAAAAAAAAGATAAATAATACAAACAAATGAACAAGTGAGAGGACCAAGATGGTGATACCCTTAACCAGATGAAACTCCCAGGCCAGCTGCATTCTTGCTGATGGTGCTGAGAAGCCCACCCAATAACCACCAGTTTGGAAACTACAGCAGGATCTGCAGAGCCATGGCCAGTGGGGACGTTTCCCTAACAACTGAGGCAGAGCCCTTGTTCTCTGCTGCCCCGGGTCATAAAAGTCAGCCTCAACTCAGGGAAGGAATGTGACACACAGAATGTAAGGAAATTTTCTATCAAACAGAAAAACTTAACAGGTAGTCTCAAATGCTTACATGAGCACTTTCAGAACTGACAATTTATTTGATATTTTCGAACATACAGAAAAATACACAATCCATAATTTTCAACATCTAAACATAATATTTTCCCATGATATCGTCTCACTGAATTTGTTCAGATGAATCAGAGATCGTCTCACAAGGCCAGTGGTTCTCAAGCTAAGTTCAGAATATATGAGAACCATCGCAGGGCCACCCCAGAGCTTCTGATCCATTAGGTCTGGGGTGCGGCCCAGAACCTGTATTCCAGCAAGTGCCCCCGTGACTCTGATGCTGGAGAACTATGCACAGCAGAAAGCAGCCAGGCCACCTGCTACGGGAGGTTCATGAAGAATCTGATAAGTCTGATTAGTGAATAGACTGCGTACCTAGAATCATCATCCCGTTGGGGGTACAGGAAGGCAAGCCAGCAGAAACAGTTCACAAAGAAGGAAAACGTCTGCTTGAGACTCACCATCTCCGGTCTCCATGAGCTCGGCGTTGCCATACTTTGGTGCCGTCCGGGATGTGGTTGAGCCCTGCGGCCTCTCCACCTGTATCGAGTGTTCTGAGGTGTAAGTGGTGACATCAGGAGGTGCAGAATGGTTTTCTGTAAAGAAGCACATGGTGAGGTTTTCCGACGGTCACGACAGTCATTCTGAGTCATTCTGAGTGAGCAAAAGGACCTCAAGCATGCTGCCTCCTGGGAGAAGACCCAATAATTACTCTGAACCAAAGGGGGCCACAACAACCTCAGCACAAAGACGATCTTTAATTTATATTGTCCCAAATGGGACAAAGCTAGATAAAGCTCTGGACATAATCTCACAACAGGAGCCGCATCAATGGATTGCTGTAGCATTCGAACTAAAGTCCTGTCCCGAAACAGCCAGCGGACAAGCTGCCATGAGCCAGGCGTTTGTTCACAGAGGACAGTGGTTTTTCTCATCTGTCAGAACAGGGGCAGTGAAGGGCGCAGGCTGCGGAGCCAGAGCCTGGACGGTGGGAAGTGCCTCAGCCTTCACCCATCAAACGGGAACAATACTGCTATCACCTCGGTGGGTAGCTGTGTGGATTAAATGAGTTGACACACGTAAAGTTCTTAGGGTATTTTTCTTGATGACGGGAGAGACATCAAGAAATATTAGCTATTATTTTATTTGTTTTCGCATGGATAATTCTGAATAGTCATTCAAAAGACATGTTCACAGCCTGATGTGTACTAAGTGCTGTGTTACAGCCAGTGAATGTGTGGTAGTTTTCCTCTGCAGCATTCACTGGTAGTAAAGTTAAGTGTTTAGATGATTAAATGAGGCTGGGCACCATTTTTATATTTACTAAAAACAGTGCTAGGAGAGCATGACAAATAGAGACTATTAATGGCGTTTCACTCATACTAGGTTCTAGTGATGGGCATTACATTTCTAACTTTGATTCACTACCTTTATTAGAAGGAAACCATTCAAGATCACTCCCTCTGTCATTCAATGTGACAGAGATGTCACATGTGCTGGTATCAGTGTCGCTCACGTGGAGGCCTTTCTTCTCTGGACACGCCTACTTCAGCACAGCATGCGGGGCCCACTTAGAGAAGTTGCCAACAAAGAGCACAGAAATTTGCTGCAGAACAACAGAGCAATAAGCAGGCTGTGAAAAGACACTTATGTCGGAGCCGAAACAGGAAGGCAGTGGCCGCTTTGTCCCACTCAGTCGGAGCGCCCACGCCAGGCTTCTTCTCGCTGCTCTGCGCATATCCACAAACAACCGCAAAATTGCCGAGTACTGATTTGGGGATTACAAATAAACTGTAGCAAGTAGGCATATTCATAAACATGGAACCTGTGAATAATGAGGACCAACGATCCACAAACAACCGCAAAATTGCCGAGTACTGATTTGGGGATTAGAAATAAACTGTAGCAAGTAGGCATATTCATAAACATGGAACCTGTGAATAATGAGGACCAACCATCCACAAAAGTGAGTTTGCATGTGTTTGCCAGCTCTACGAGAGGAAGACGACAGCCAGGGAAGGGTCAGTCGTACTCCTGGGTCAGCTTCAGACAGAGCCTCCTGGGGTGACCGCTCATCCTGATCTGCCTGGACATCCTGGGAGCCCCTGGTCCCAGGCTCACATGCCCAGCAGGCAGCGTGTGCAGGGTGGAGCCTGGGCCTTCATGCCTTTGCCCAACCTGGTCCCAGGTCCACTACTCACAGCTGAACAATGGGACCAGCTACACAACTGAGTTTCATACCTCAGTTTCCTTTTCAATAAAACAGATAAGGGGTTATATTGGGAAGTATGCAAAGACACATACACTTTGTTATTATCGGGCACACAAACACCTGCTGGATGTAGAGACTATTAGTGCTGGGGTGCTGTGAGATGAGTCTGGCATGAATGAGCACTTGCTTGTGCAGACTCTGGGCCCTGGCATGTGTGTGAAGCATGACAGGAACCATCGACCCTAAATAGATGTTCAGCCTCAGAGGCGTGTGCTTTCCAGGACACTGCTCTGCGCCCTGGCACCGCCACGACTGAACCTCTTCCTCTAGACGAGCATAACCAGCCCGGCCAAGGTGTCTGAGGGGCCGGACAGCATGCAGCCAGAGTGCAGGCATCTCCTCTCTCCTTCTCTAGGCTCATGTTTTTAACCACAGCAGATGGCCCTAATACATAAACAGCGCCAGGTAAAAATTCCCTTGATAGGATGGGTTCAGTTGAGGTTGTGGACTTACTTTAACAGAAACACTATTGTTCAGGAAACACTCCTGCAGCGCAAGGAGAAATTCATTCAAAACTGTGTACATATGCTTCTTCAATGTTTAGTGTGATGCGGACTTTCAGACATGCAAAAGATAACTACACTGAAGCTGTGGTTTTTATAAGGGAAAGACACAAGGTAAAAACAGTATATCCAAGTATACTAACTGATGAGTTAATTTAATGTAATTTTCGCCCTTTTCTCTGATAAGAGCAATACATGCCCATTTAAAAAACAACCCATTTTAAGAGCTATGCAACACAGAAAGTGAGTTTCCCCAGTGTTACCTGCTTGCCTGCCAGTTTAGTGCACAGTTTTGGGTTTTTTCCTGCTGAATATACTATTTACAGATAGTTAACTCTTTGTAGCCAAAAAAAGGGATCGTTCTGCACAAACTGCATGCAAGCTCTGCCTTTTACTTGCTTTGGCTGCCTTCCCACATTGGACCTCCGGCTGTGGGTGGGAACCTGCTTGACCTATGAGAGGCATGGGGTGGGGCTTAGCAGCATGCTTATACTTTGAGTGAAAGCACGATGGATACCAGTGCATGATGAGTGAAGTCTGGAGCCACCCCCCAGCACAGGAGCTGTGGAAACATGGGCACACTGCAGTCCACTCTGCTCAGATTCATCCTAGCCATCCAATCAGTCTTCGAGGTGGGCAGCAGGAAAACTGCAGGCTTCCAATACATCTACTGATTAAAGACAGGAGCAGTGACAGCTGTTGACTTCCAAGTGCCCCCTTCTCAAACTGTTTGCATGTGCCACCACTGTGGGAGCATGTGGGGCTGCCTCCTGCTGGGGCTGTGGGGACACATGGTATGTGCTTCTCTCATCCTGGTGGAGGTCAGGACTCCAGCACTGTGTGGGTTCCTGTTTTTGAGGAGCATTTAAGAGTCCTGCACATGACAGATGCTTGAGAGATGCTTGCTGATGATAGGGAACAGTGGACTCATTTGAAAGAACAGGTTCATGTCTAAAATGCTCATCAGCTCCAGGCATGAGACCAAGGAAGTCCACGTGCATCAGGAACATTTTGAGGATTGAGGGCTCTCATCTGTCACTCCCAGGCACCCACTCCTGGGCCGTCAGCCTGTTGCTCAGGCAACAGGTCCTCTGTCTGTGCAGCCGCTTCCCAGCCACAACCAACCCAAGGGTGCTGGCTGGTCTTCCCCAGGGAACTCGCATCCCTAATCCAAGTCCTCTGCTGGCCTCTGCTGACCCCAGCTCCCCATGGGGACAGTCACAGGACGTCCTGCACAGATGCTGAAGCCATACCGTCTGTGCTTGACAGAAGTTGAGGAGTAGTGCAAAGAGTGAATGAGCACTTGAACAAGTACGCTAACAAACACGACTGGTGGAGATGCAACGCCCCCTCTGGGTCCAGCAGCATTCTTCAGTTCCAGCTATGACTGGGGTCTCAGGGGTCAGTGGTGATCAATCCCACTTTCAAGCCATGTTAATTATCTTTCAGTCCCCAGATAACTTTAAAGGAACAGAAGAAAAGTGGAAAATCTGGTTTTAATATATAGAAAGCAATGTGCCCTGGTCCCGTATCTCAGGGAGGATGAGTGAAGCTCTCACAGGGAGGGCTTCATGTCCCTCGCCTTGCACCGTTAATTCGACCATCGTGTTCACTGAGAAAAGGAAGCAGCACGGCCATTGGACCAGTGGTCTGCCCAGCTGTTCCAGCTTCCTGGTAGATGACAAGCAGCTCCCTCCACGTGGCAACGTGACCGACCGGAACCTCCATGGGAACGTGGGGGTGCCCGAGCAGGAGGCAGAACTGGCCCACAGCACATGCAAACTGCTCAGGGATCCTGAGCAAGGAGGTCCCCTGCAGTACAAGGGAGACTACAGAACCACAGGCTTCTCAGACCCAAGCCCCTCTCCAGAACCACACAAGCAAGGCTCTGTCAGGGGTAAATCCCCCAGACACAGTGGCACCAGACATGATTCAGAGATGGTGACTCATGGTGAAGGGATCTGCACTGATGTGGAGAGTCCTGTGGTGCTGCAGACCCAGGAGGCTGGGTGCTCCCTGCAAGGCCATTTTCCACTGCAGCTAATCAGGAGAAAAGGCTTCCCTCCTTGGCGTCCCTGGAGGGAAGCCTCTGCCCAGCTCTAATGGACTGCAGCTGTACAGTGTCTCAGCCAAGAGTGATAAACAGGGTAAGGATGGACTTATCAAGGCATTTGTAAGACAGGATTAAAAATGACACATTTATATATCCAAGCAAATATCTTATTCTTTAATAATCATTCAGGGTCAGAACAACACATTTAGCTTAACCTTGTCTTCTGCTACAGATTCATTTTTCCATTGTGTGCATGTGTGCTAATACACTAATAGTGACTCTCGGTTTCTTTTCAGATCTGCAGACAAATCTTCTACAGACCAAACCAAGAAATGGTTAGAAAAGGCCTTCGTGGTTCTATATTCAAACATTTCTCTCTGCCAAGGTTCTGAGAGACAGCCCGCCATTCACAGAATTGCATGATTTCTCAGGTCTGGATCTGTTCTCCCTCCACATTTATGCCATGAAAATCCCACAAATATATGATTTTGACTGTCAGACAAATCTTAGGATGTATGTGACAAACACTGGAGCAGAAATCTTTAACTCTGAACAACAGCCTCTTGATTTTTCTATCTACAAATTCACATTCACGATGAAAGACTGCAATTAGCATGAAGCACGTGCAGGCCAAATGTCCCGTGACGTCCTGACAGGGGATGGAGAAATCTTTAGTGTTCATGCAAAATTTAATTGTGCTTTTGTCTGAAGAGGACTCTTTCTGTTCTGCAACAGGGAGGCCCCAGTAGAAATGGTCACTGAGCACAG